TTTAAAAAGTCACATGAAGAATTGTCTTGTGATTTTTGATGGGGATTGCATTGAATTTATAGGTTGTTTTTGGTAGGATGAGCATTTTTTACAATATCCATGAACATGGAGGTCTTTCCGTCTTCTTCATTTTATTTCTTCAGTGTCTTAAGGTTTTCATTGTACAAACCTTTCACTTTCTTGATTAGATTTATTCCAGTTTATAACCTGAGTCAGAGTCTCACTGTGTAGCCCTGATTGTTCTGGAGCCTACTGTGTAGACCAGGCTAGTCCCAACTCATAGAGATGTGACTACTTCTGCTTTCTTAGTGCTGGGATTAAAGGTGTGCACCATCATGCCCAGCTATTTATTATTTTTTGAGGTTATTATGGGTGGTATTGTTTGCCTAACTTTTTTCTCTAAATGTTTGTTGTTAGGTAAAGGAATCTACTGTTTTTTTTAAAAATATTTATTTATTGTGTATACAATATTCTGTCTGTGTGTATGCCTTCAGGTCAGAAGAGAGCACCAGACCTCATTACAGATGGTTGTGAGCCACCATGTGGTTGCTGGGAATTGAACTCAGGACCTTTGGAAGAGCAGGCAATGCTCTTAACCACTGAGCCATCTCTCCAGCCCCGAATCTACTGTTTTTTGTGTGATAATTTTTTTATTCTACTATTTGGTTCCAAATGTTTATCACTTATATAATTTTTTGGTGTAGTCCTTAGGCTCTTTTAGGTACATAGTCATCCCCTTGGCTAATAACAATATTTTGACATTTTTTCCCTATTTGTATTCTTTATTTCCTTCTACTGTTGCTCTAGCTAAGACTTCAAGTACTATATTGCACAGTAGTGGAACAAGTGGACATCCATATCTAGCTCTCAATTTTAGTGGAAATGTTGGGTCTTTCCTCCATTTAGCACTGATTTGGGTTGCCACTTGCTGCATATTGCCTTTATCATGTTGATATATGCTGCCTATATTCCTAGATTCACGAGACCCTTTATCATGAAAGGATGTTGGATTTTTTCAGTTTAGTGAAAATATATTCTTATGATTTTCTGAATTTCTCAAGTGTCTTTTGTGATATATCCCTTTTTCATTTCTAATTTTGTTAATTTGGATCTTCTCTTTCTTTCTTTTGGTTAATTTGGCTAAATGTTTGTCAATCATTTTAATCTTTACAAAAAGGACCAGCTCTTTGTTTCATTAATTCTTTATAAATATTTTTAAATTTCATCCCTGATTTTGGTTATTGCTTCCAATCTGCTTTTTTGGGTGTTTGTTCTTATTTTTCCAGGCTGTCAGATGCATCATTAAATTATTAATTTGAGGTATTTTGGTTTTTTTTTTTAAATGTGGGCACTTAATACTGTAAGCTTTCTCTTTTCTTCCTTCCTTCCTTTCTTTTCTTTTCTTTTTTTTCTTTTTTCTTTTTTGCTTTTCAAGACGGGGTTTCTTTGTGCAACAGCCTCTGACTGTCCTGAAACTCACTTTGTAGACCAGGCTGGCCTCAAACTCACAGAGATCCATTTGCCTCTGCCTCCTGAGTGCTGGGATTAAAGGTGTGTGCCACCACCGCCTGGCCCTGTAAATTTCCTTTAAGACCACCTTCATTATGGCCTGTAGGTTTTGGTAGCTGTGTTTTCATTTTCATTTAATTCTAAGAACTTCTGTTTCTATTTCTGCAATAGGACTCATGGTTCTAACTGGTGTTAGTGTGCTGGCAAAGTTTTTCTTTTTTTCTTTCTTTTGTACTTTTTTATTTTTAAAATTCAGGTCCCTGGTTTTCTTTCTATGGTGGCACTGGTAATGAAGTGGAGGACTGAGATGTCATTTCCATCTGTGGGGCTGGTAGTTTGGGATGGGGGCTCTAGCTCAGGTCTTATGAGGATCAGGCGTCGTCCTGTTGCCTCCTCCTGGATCTACAGCTTTCGCTGTGGAACTCTGCACACAGCTGTGGGCTTTCCCCGGCATTAGATCCCATCCCTGCCCCGGATCCAAAGCTTCTGCTGAGTCCACCACATGATGTGGGACTTCAATAGTCCTTACCTGGGCTCGGGATTGGTTCCTAACCTGGGTTTGCTGCTTCCACTAAAGCTTCTGCAAGGTATGGAACTACCCTTGCACTCCTGGATTCTAATCTGGTCCTCATCCTGGGTCTGCTGCTTCTGCTGAAGCTACCATGGGAGGTGAAACTTGCCAAACTCCAATAGGCTTTTCCCCAATTCGCAACTGGTCCACACCCCAGGTCCTATAGCGTGGTTTTTTTTTCTGCCCCCTAACTGCTAAGCCATCTCTCCAGTCCCTGAAGGCACTTTGTAAACCATTAGTTTAAATCACTTACTTTAGGCAAGGTTGTTAGTTTTTAAAATTTGTTTTCACTACCGTACAGCCTAGAACCCTTTGTTGTGTATCCCCTGCTGATCTGTCCATCTGTGGAGGAGGGTTCCAGTTCTTTCTACACTCCACTAAAGCGGAGAACATTCATCAGACACTTGAGAGCAGTGTTCTGGGTAAGGTGTAACTAGTGTTTTGGTGTGAAAGAAATGATGCAGGGGGGCTTATTTTTAATAAGGGTAGATACAGGTGTTTTAAAAAATTGATGTGGGAGAATTGTTTGTATTTTGTCAATTATATTTTAATAAAACGCTAATTGGCCAGGTAGGCAGTATAGGCGGGAAAACCAGACAGGAAGTAGAGGTGATGCAATGAGAACAGGAGAATTCTGGGAAGCAGGGAGGTTCCTCTGTCTCTCCTGCACAGATCACCGAAGAGGCAGCATGTAACTTGCCCAGCTGAAAAAGGTACGGAGCCATTATGGCTAACATAGATCAAAACAATGGGTTAATATAAGCTATAAGAGTTAACAAGAAGCCTGACCTAATGGGCCAATCAGTTTATAACCAAATGTAAACTCTGTTATTTTCTTTGGGAATTGCCGGCTGTGGGGTACCAGGTGGGACAGATACCCCAACAAGCCGGCCTTCATGTTACAAAAAATTACATTATTATCTGTGCTTCCTTGAGCAGGAGAAACAGGTATGCCAGTAGAACCTATTGCTAACTTAGATTGTCCAAAAATAAATGTGCTGAGAAGAAAGATCAGATCCCGTTCTGTGTCTGTTACCTAGGCTAAAAGGAATGGGATTAAGAGGAATAAGCCCCTGTTGTACCGTACCCAAAGTTGGACTGAGTACAGGCTGCTCGAGGATCCCACTAACTAGGCATACCTGTTAACTAGGTTTGGGATGTAGCATATGGTTAAGTCTGATGGATGGGTGGAAAACAGTGTTAAGAAGCTTGGATATGAGTTGTAAGCACTGACTGCTTTCAACAATGATGCTGGTCCTCCATTGTATACAGCCTAGAGAGGCAGAGTCAGATCCCCATAGAAGCTGCAAGTCTGACACAGGAAATTAGCTTCAATTTCTTATGTTTTGGGCAAAGGGAACTGTAGCTTTGGAGCCTGTCCTAGAACTAGCCCTTGTAGACCAGGCTGGCCTCAAACTCACAGAGATCCGCCTGCCTCTGCCTCCCAAGTGCTGGGATTAAAGGCGTGCACCACCACCGCCCGGCTAATAAGTTAATTTTATAGAACACTGAAGTTCATCCTCAATAATTTAAGATTGGTTTGTTTTCACATTTTTTTCTAATTGGATATACATTTTTTTTTATATTATTTAGAAATCTGGAACTAGTGTAGGATGTAAAACCCAAATCATCATTGAGGACAATAAATTACACCAAAGCCATGACCTATCAGCTACAGGGAAGATAATTTAGAAGCTAAAAAACTCTTTTGATTTATTCTCAAGAAAGATTTATTTAAGAAGAGTCCAATATATCTAAAGGATTAAAGCACAAATATATAGAAAATATACACTAAAATGGAAAATATCAGGAGATCTTGGAGATATATTTGTTTTGCAAGTCGCAAATTTTATTAAAAATTTATTTTTTGCCCAGTAGAAAAGCAAATTTTGAGTCTATTTACAAGCAATATGTATTTACACATATTATATACAATTAATGCATTTAAAGAAAATGGGCAGAGAAACAATATATTTGGAAGAATATGTCACTGTACATGGTTTATTATCATGTTCTTCAATGTCACGGCATCTTTACTGTAGTAATAAATACAATTCTATATGTACACATCTTATAAAACATCTCATATTTTTAAAAAATTCCACATTAAAATATCTGATCAAAATAAAACATGCTTATATAAAAATAAATCTACTTAACAGCCTTTTGGTTTGGGTGCAATGAAGCTAAATGTAGGATCAAAGAAGTTAAGAATAAACACTTCCACTTTTCAAATTTAATAATTTGGATTAAAACATCTAACACCCATGTTAATATGGAAGAAACAAAGGAGTCATGTTCTTTATAGCCGGTGGTTGATCCAAAAAGGACAGATAAAACCAAACTAAGTAGAAAGAGAAATACTTTGCCCAGTTTCTGTTGAGCCCAAAGTGTCAGGAGGCATTGTTGCCCGAGCTACTACTCAGTGGCCCTATGGACGTATGTCCTGCCTGCCTCTGAGTGTCTTACAATGCACAACTATGTGAGGCACTGACAAAACATCTTCCCCAAAGCATACTCCCACTCAGAAATGAATACAAAACCTACAATCGCTTACTAGGTAGGCCCACTGCTGGCAATGAACTTTCTGAGCTTTGGATACTAGAAATTTAAAAATGAATCAAATAAGTCAAATTTCTACCTATACATAATTGCTTTAGGAAAAATTTAATTTTCCTTTCAAAGAACTTGTCGCCAGTCTTATTTTGGATCAGGGGAGGATGCTGAGTGCTTACTTATAAAACCCAGTATCTTAAATTGATACATGAATGAATTAAAAATGTCTCACATTATTCATCCAGGAGACTGGTGTTCAGGAAGGACCTTTTCTGACCAAAGGACAAAAACATCTTCACGTGGTCATTACAATGAAACCCTGTGGACAATGTAGCCTGTCTTTTAAAAAAAATCCATACATTGCCTTATAATATTAACCTTCTTCTAATGAATTTGTCAATTTTAACATACCCATTGCATCATCCAATGCAATGGAATCCCCCACTACCAGTGGTTTATGCTGGTGAGTGTGAAGAGAATACAATAAAAACTAGAGACTTGGTTTTTTTGAAGAGCATTTTTGTCTGCTTTTCAGATCTAGGCTCATCTAAGTAACGTGATGAATAGCTGAACAAATTATACAAGCAGTGTTTAGACTTATACCTCACTCTCCAGTATCAGTAAGGTGATTAGCTTTTCCATACTAACTTATAGACGTCTACTTGTGTGTAAGCCAGGTTTCAGCTCGACTCTTCTTAGCTACTCTTCTGCTATAAATCTTCTTGCAGGTTTGCCACTTTGGAAAACAATCCTCTCCAGTGTCACCTAGAGGCATGGGACAAAGGCTACTGAAGAAAGATGACAGCTTTCCGTCATTGGGTAAGCTGGCGATGACCCAGAATTGGAAGGCAAGTCATAGGCTATGCTGGCATGCGTAAAGGCTACCAAGGCTTGGGTTGAGTCACACGACCGTTTTTCAACATCGTCGGAGTTCACGGACAGCAGACTTGGGTGTTTCGATCTCGTCCAGAAATGGATTTGCTTTCCTAGACTGCCCATATCCTCCTTAAAATGGGGATTGAAGACGATGTAGAGAAGGGGATTGAGACAGGCAGGAAGCGGGACAATCACCAGAAGGATAAACTTAATTACCTCCGGACTGATAAATGTGAGGTTTAGCAAAGAGGAGAAGGATAAGAAAGCCACGGGGCAGTAAAGGACACAGTCCGTGAAGAGCAGCAAGGCAATGTGCTTCACCATAGAACAGTCCCAGAGATTCTCCAGGTCTCCTTTCTCGAGATTGCAGCAGAGCTTGGTATAGGCAATGGTCATTATGAGGAAGCAGAGGGAGTTGAGTAAGACGAGAGCCACCATGTAGCCCGTGGTGCTGGGCTCCCCAAACGGCAAGGGCAGGCAGAGCGGCGAGGCATTGTACTTACTGCCACCCAGCAAGGGGACGGTGGCGATGGTCAGGGCCAACAGGACACACAGCAAAATGATCACCTTTAGGCTAGACAGGGGTGTTTTCATTTCAAACTTTGAAGAACATTTGACAGAAAAACCACGTTCCAGGGCTGCCAGAGTGAGCAGGAAAACAGACGATTCTGAAGCAAAAATGGACAAGAAGCCAACGATTTGGCAACCAATTCCATCTTCCCACCACGCGCCGTGTTGGGCAAAACTACCAAAAGTGAACGTATCCACAACAGCCAGTACAGCACTGGAGACCCCCATGAGCATGTTCACCACTGCAATCACCCCGATTAACAGTTTTATGGAAGAGATGTACAGAGTAGTTCTGAACACTGTTGACGTCACCAAGGCATTACAGGAAAGCGCCAACACGGCTATGGTCCACACTCCGATTCTGATCAGCCAGCTCCCAAACAGCTGGTCACAGGGCTTGAAAGGACCTGAATGTGGGAGGAAGAGAGAGAACATATCAGACTGGGCTGACAGACAGAGCAAACTTGCCAAGAAACGGAGGTCAGTAACAGCCACCGTAACTATGGTGCCCACATGGCTTGCTCCTGTTTCTCAAACTAGTGTGGGGACCCCCTTGGGGTTTCCATAGCACTGACCCATTGATGCTTGAGGTTTTCGTGTTCCCAGAGGAGATACAGAAAAATAAAAATGGAAAACTTAGTCCTAAGGCGTGGCAGTGTGGACAATGTGAAAAGCCAGACCACCTGGATGTCTCACTAAGACCTTCAGATATTTCTAGGGCTCCAGAGTCCAAGAAAGAGACTCCTAGGGAAAGAGTTCATGTGAGACACAGTGTGGGTAGGAATGCTTGTTGATTGGAAATAAAACATTATTCATTGCCTTTCCCCCACTAAATTATCTACCTTTTTTTTTTTTTAAAAAAAAAAGGAATAGGACAATTTAATGAATTCAATATTTTTAAGACTCATCTTATTATTTGTTATCAATTTGTTTTTTTGTTTGTTTTGGGTTTTGGTTTTTTGAGACAGGGTTTCTCTGCAGCTTTGGAGCCTGTCCTGGAACTAGCTCTTGTAGACCAGGTTGGCCTTGAACTCACAGAGATTCTCCTGCTTCTGCCTCTGCCTTAAAGGCGTGAGCCACCACTGCCTGGTTTTTATCATATATTTTTTTAAAGCTGTAGTCTCTCGACACAGTCCTGGCTGCCTGGGAACTGTGTTGACTAGGCTGACCTTGAGCTCAATGATATCCACCTGCCTCTGCCTCCCAAGTGTACTACCGGTAGGGACTAAAGGTGTGTGCCACCATACCCGGCAAGGCCAGAGGCTTGAACATGTTAAACAACACTTTATTGTTGGGCTAAATTCCCAGACCCATGATTATTTAGAGAAGAGATCTAAATTATTAAAGAAAAATAATTTATAGATTATACAAAGCAAGACTATGGGGTACTATTCTATGCTAAACAGCCATATTGCCTTCTAAATAATATATGCTTCTGAGTATGTGGCAATGCTTTAGTTTGTATTAACCTGAATCACGTTCCCCACAAAGTTCTACTGGGGAATGGAACGTGACTCTAGTGAATGAAGTTCCGGTTGTCAGGGACAATGTGGTGATCCCCCAGGTGGCGGAGATTTGGCTTCTGAAGTGTCTAGACAGTTGTCTAAAGCCTCAGAGTCCATGTGGTCTTCGATACCAGTGTAGTGTTGATGTCTCTCTCACCTGGAGAAGGGGAACACTGCACCGAATGAAGAGCTTTCAGGTCTTCCTCGAAGTCAAGGAGGAAATCTTCAAGGTCCCGCTCATCTGCAGGGATGAGAGGAGCTGGAGTGGTTAGTTCTCTCCTTGGTATAGGAGGATCTTCTTTCTATGTGTTGCTTTCATTGGTCAAATAAAGAAACTGCCTTGGCTTTTTTGATAGGGCAGAATTTAGATAGGTGGAGTAGACCAAACGGAATGCTGGGAGAATGAAAGCAGAGTCAGGCAGACGCCATGGCTCTCCTCTCTGAGAAGGACGCTGGTTAGACTCATGCCGGTAAGCCACAGTCAAGTGGCGATACACATTAATGGAGATGGGTTAAACGAATATGTGAGAGTTAGCCAATAAGAGGCTAGAGCTAATGGGCCAGGCAGTGTTCAAATGAATGCAGTTTCTGTGTAATAATTTCGGGTAAAGCTAGTCGGGCGGCTGGGAGCCGGGTGGGACGAAAAGCAGCCTGCTAGCCAATTACAACATCTCATGAGGAGAGACTTTGGTTGTCTGCAAGGCACGAACTGTCACACAGAGAAATGAGGGCAAGACTTTGCTGGAGGTCCCTTAGAAAGTCCCTTGTTGACATTCTACTCAACCTACTCTGGCAGTATTCCCATACAACTGAGGGTGAGGAGGAATGGTCCCGTACTCAGGGGAAAATACCCAAGCCCTCTGAGTTTGCTGTTCCCTGGAGTTTGTGATGGTTCTAAGTTTCCCAGACCTAAACCCAGGATAGGAACCACATTTTATCCAGTTTTCTAAGGATTGGGGATGTTTGCTTTGCATGCTCGAGGCCCGAGGTTCGCTCTCCAGCTCCCTCAGAAACTTCCTTTAAGGCAGAAGAGAGAGCAATTCTCTAACACTAATATAGCTGCAGCACAAACGTCCCTGGTGGCTGCCTCTGGCCACAAGATGGAAAACCAGTTTCTGTGTTCTTTGGGGGGAATTCTGTATAACAAGAGACAAAGTAATAACGAGATGCTTGGTTTAGAAAACTATCTTTTAAGAAAGTTTTGTGGTTCAAATGCTTTTTCTACAGATGCGCATTTTCTTGGTTTTGTCTGTGACTTGGACATGAGCATGTATGTGTATGGTGTGTGTGTGTGTGTGTGCGTGCACGTGTGAACAAGTGATCACTCAAAGGGACACATATGGATGTCGTAGGTAGATGTTGGAATGCTCAGTACCTTCCTTTCGTTACCTTATGAGACAGGGTCTCTCACTGAACCTGGCCCTCACGCATTCGGCTGGGCTGGCTGATCATTAAGCTCTTGCTGCTTCCTGCACCTCACAGTACTAAGATTCCAGGTGCTTTCTGACATGTTCCCACTCTTTAAAATGTGGGCGTTGGAGAATCTGAACTCAGATCCTCATGCTTGTGCACTGAACCTTTTACTCACTCAGCAACACCCCCCCCCCCCCCTAGTTCCGGCATCGTTATGTTTTCAAACCCTTTGCTGTTATTCCAATGCACGGCTCACGGTTAAGAATCACTGATCTTGAAAACAAATTCCACGAAGGACATTAGAGCTATTATGTAGTCCCAGGGGCTGATGTAGTGTCTGGAACATAATGGGCTCTATATTTTTAAATGCTTAATTTTTAATAAAGAAACATAGAAGAGATTAGAGTTGATAGGGCAGAAAGAGCCAAAAACTAAAGGAAGAAGAAGAGCAAGATGCATGCTGGGTGATCTAAAAACCAACAAACAAACAAGGCTATTAGCTCCTCAGCTGATAGGCAAGCGGAAAAGTTAAAGGAACTTGCAGACAGGTTGAATTACACGTTGGAATCAACAAATCACTAAGGCCCTAAGAATGAGAAGCTATTCTGTTAGACCTTGTGCAAACTCGCAAGGTTGGCAGAGAATGGAGGGGGTGCTGCCCAAGGCGCCTCCTCATCCCCACAGGTGTGGGGGAGAGAGATTGCTTTCTGTTTAAGTAACGTCTTACTGCGAGAAAAGCCAAAGCTTTACAGACATGATCTCACTTCACCCTCCTGACAGATACCCCTGGGGGGACGAGGAGAACATGATTTAGAATTAGTTGGTGGAGAAGCGGAATTCTTAGGTCCTTCTGTGCGAATATGGAGGAATTAAAAATGTCTATCTACCCGCCCCACCCCACCCCCCACTTTCGCCAGGTCAGGAAAATAAGCGTGGATTTTTTTTTTCTCTTTTAGAGAAAGAAGTGCAGAAGGATATTTGAAAAAGGATAGAATCCTCTAAAAAAAATAGTATGAAAATACTGATAGAGTAATCACCTCTGAGGACTGGGTACGCCAGGGAAGGTCTACCTTATAAATAAAAAAGCGGGAATTCGTACACAGAATAGACGGCAGGTTCTTTCTGTCTTTTTGAGTCTTTACAAAAAGCACCAACTCTGCATCTGCTGGGTGCTCACACGGGGACTCCTGAACTTCCGATGGTCCTGCTTAAGAACTTCGAGACCTTTCTGCTTCCAATTCCCTCACCACAGCAGCTCTTACCTGGAACTTGCAACAGCCCGGCATCTTTCTTGGGAAGGTCATCCGCACTGCTGTTACCACCTTTACTCCACTGATTAGAAACTTTGTAGACATTCTCACACGCTCCAAATGCACAACACTGGTAAGCATACGGCATTTCAATAATCCTTTAAAGAAAGGAGGCAAAACAAAGAAAAAAAACCCCATACACTTAAAAAAGATGGGTCATGAAATATAATGTTTATCTTTTCATGCAGTGATTCTCCTTTTGGAGTTTAGCCTAAATAAATAATCCAAAATATATGCTATTTGAATAAAGGTGTTCATTCCAGTGATACTTGTAACCACAGTCATTAAAATTTACCATCATGAAATGTTTATAATTGTGGAAGTTGAGTGATGTGATTTAAATGATGGAAAATTTCCATAGTAAAACGGTTTTAAAAATGAATGGGAGGAAAATTACGGCAGCGTTATATCAAGTAACCAAAATACACTGTAAATTTTTATGTATATATAGATTCTAATAACTTGGGTGATGTGAAACACAGCCTAGAAATAAACAACACAAAGATGTTGTTCAAGGTGGCATTTTGAAATATAGTTTTCTCTCTTCCATACTATCTTTTGTGGCTTTATTACTTTTTCGGCTTTAAAAACATGCAGACAGTATTGTGGCTTAAGGCATATATATGTGTACACAGAATCTTTAAACCATTCCTTTATTGCTAGTAAGCACAGCAGGTTTTAAAAAGCACTGCTTCCTCCAATGGGCACCAATTTAGGACATTTTATTGCAACATATGCATGCTAGAGGAATTAAAAATTGTTAAACAGGAGAGCAGTAATGTTACAATGCTATTTAATTACACGGCCTAGTATATATCCTGTGGATCAGTGCTTTTCAGGTTCTTTCCATGAACTCCGCTTCCAGGAGGCATCTCTGAAAGGAAATGTGCTCAGGACGACAGGCTCCCACTTCCGGCTTGTCCTAACAGTGTTCCAGGGGTGGGGACTCAGGGCATGAAATGCAATTCAAAGGGGTCTCATGACCTCATAAATTTAGCAACCACTCTAACATGTCTGTTATTCCGCATGACCACAAATGTATCTCATTTGTATCTCATTAGTTTCAACGACAGACTCACTTGAGCTCTGGGAAGTTTGCAGATGGTATCAGGCTCTGCAAGGCACGGTTTCCTGTTAATTTTAAGTGAGTTAAACCATGTAACCCAGTTACAGGGAAAGACGTCAGGCGGTTGGAGGAGAGGTCCCTGGAAAACATCAAACAATCGGCTTTTAGTGACTACATTAGCATAAAATGTCTCTGTTTACAAAAGCAGTCTAAGGATGCTTAAACCGAAACTTCTCAATAAAAACTTCTGAGCAGAGTTCTTACTCTTAATGGTAAAACTCGCCATTTGGATTTCAGCTTCCGATAGCTTTTCTATTTATAATCGCAGCGGGAAGATGACACATTTTATTTTAATTTTTTTATGATTTATTTATCTTTATTTTGTGTGTATTTGTGTGAAGGTGTCAGATCCCCTGGAACTGGATTTTCATGGCAGCTATTAGCTGCTATGGGGGTGCTGGGAATTGAACCCGGGTCCTCTGGAAAAGCAGTCAGTGCTCTTAACCACTGAGCCATTTCTCCAGTCCCAAGATGACATATTTAAAAGGCATTAAAATTGTTCTGTATTCGGCTGGGTAGTGGTGGCTCATACCTTTAATCCCAGCACTTGCGAGGCAGAGGCAGACAGATCTCTGTGTGTTTGAGGCCAGCCTGGCCTATGGGGTGAGTTCTAGTACAGCCAGGGCTACACAAAGAAATCCTGTCCTGAAAAATCAAAAAGAAAATTGTTCTATATTTTGCCTCATTTTGCCAAGTAGGAACAACTAAAATCAAGGAGAAATATGCATTTATTTGAAAAGTGGTAGGAATGGCCAGTAAAATGTTTAAGGGTTTCCTTCCTTCCTCCTCCCCTCTTCTATCAGAATAAATGCTTTGTCAACTTATTTCATTCTGTCTGATTTCTCAGCAAAAATGAACAATTCCACTTAAACAAGCAGCCCCAGCTATAACCCAGGTCTCTAGTCATCCACATAAGGGCTTGCACGGCCCCAGAGAAGCTGGGCATCTTCCCTGGCCAGGGCATAAGTGTAGGAGTGGGGAACACAGAGCACTGGCTGTGCATTGGGAGTGACTTCAAAAAACCAACATCATCACTAACAGAGAGATAGCCACTAATTACTGAAAGACATCCCATAAATGAGAAATGCACTCACAGCTTTATTAGAGACGGCAATGTAGAAAACGCATTGGGGTGAATAACGGCAATTTTATTCCAAGCCAAGTTCCTGTTTTTTTTTTTTTTAAAAAAAGAGAAGATTATGTTTAAAATAACACATGACATTGTATTGTATATATCCAGTCTCTACCCAAATTTAATTGCCATTCTATTCCAATGAGGAATAGATAGCTCATCAAATGCTCCTTCAGATTAAATGTAGTGGGCACAAGACGATGAAAGATAGAACTTTAAAATCAGGTAGATATTTTAGTTTTCATTCTCTTCTTGCTAACAAGGTTGACGTTATCATGGATGCAAAGTTTTATTATGGTTTTTCTAAAATGAATGAAGATAGGGGACTAGAAAGAGGCAAGCATCAGAGTCTGTTTCTCTGACAGGAAAGAGTATTTTAAATTATGAGATGATCCTGGACACACAGTGCAACTCAACCAACTATCTGTGCACGTCACCTATTACATATGGGAAATCCTGGAATAAACAGAAGTGCTTTCAAGAAAATTCTCAGTATAAGATGCCGACAAGTAAGAAGCTGACTGGGATCTAAGTAAAATAGGAGAAAACGTTAGAAATAAAATCCTTCAAAGCAGTGGAAAATATTTTATAGAGAATGAAGTCTACTGTCATACATAACAGACAAAGTGAAGACAATTTAGAAGGAATAAAATCGCTAGCAAGGACTTCTCCAGATAATTCACCAAAGACAAGAACTGATGAATTATCTGAGACAAGTTCATTTTTAAAAATGAACAATGAATTTAAGACTCCCCCTGCCACTTCCCCTCTCCCTTCCTTTCCTCCTTGCTACTGGGGACCAAAGCAAGAGCCTTGTAAATGTCTGAAAGGGTTCTTCTACTGACATTTTATTTTTTAAATGCCTAAGACATGAAGGTAAGTAAGAAGTGGGCATCTGAGAAAATTGGAACTGATCAGAGTCAATGTCTCTCAGGTTCAGATAAGTGTACGATACTGTGCCCTGAGCTATTCAAGGGAACTGAATTCATAGAACAGTTACGTTCTCATTGGAAAGGTTTTTAAAAGGGAATCTTCCTCCTTTCACACGAATGTGGAGGCCAGAGCACGATCTTTCCACAAATGCTGTCCACCACGTTTTTTGAGATAGGGTCTCTAACCGACCTTGAGCTTATACCACCAGGCTAAGTTGGCTGACCAGTGAGCCTCAGGGCTCCCTCCACCTGTCCCATCCACAACACTGGGATAACATGTGTGTGTATGTGTATGTGTGTGTATGTGTATGTGTATGTGTGTGTATGTGTATGTGTGTGTGTGTATACGTGTGTGTGTGTGTGTCTTCAACGGGTCTAGGAACTGAACTTCGGTCCTCATGCTTGCCTGGCAAACACTTTACGGACTGAAATACTTACAACATTTTAAATTATAAAACAAAATTAAATAATTACATATTGATGGCCAGGGAAACAGAAGCAGTGTCTAAGACAGTTGGGCTGAAACCAGAAGATTTGCGAAAACAGATTCCCAGGCTCTACTCTCCAGACAGATGAGGACCCGGAGTTAACATAGTTCACTGTCAAACCCAGGTGGCCTTTAAGTGTTTTCACACACACACACACACACACACACACACACACACACACACACAATCAGCTAAACAAAACAAACAAGGAAATACCATACCAAACCAAAACCAAAACCCAAACAAAAAACCAAAACACAAAGCAAAGCAAAACAAAACACCCCGTCCCCCAAAACAAGCAGCAGGATTGTATGTGCTCATTTTGTGTGTGTGTGTGTGTGTGTGTGACTCTCAGGTTGCAGACAGGGGCATTACCCACTCTTTGAGCAGGTCAGCCTCTTTTCTTTTGCATCAAGAGTACATTGAAGAGAACTGGTTGAGAGCATAATCACAAATTTACTACTTTAACTTTTAATTTTTTAAAACTTATATTCTGAGAGGGTCTTATTACATAGCCCTGGCTAGTCTGGAACTGGTCGCAGACCAGACTAGTCTCAGACTTACAAAGACCTACTTGCCCATCTTACACATACTTTGATTAAAGATGTTTACACTATGGCACACAGTGCCATTTGTGTAAAAACACAAATTTACTACTTCTAATTATTTTTCTGGAAATTATGAGAAGCAAAATATTTGTACTTTTTAAAAATAGAAAACAAACCTACAGTGGCCCAACGGTAAGAGCACCCAGTGAAATAAAAATCACGGAGGTTCAACAGAGAGAAATCCTCAGCACTGTGGGGTATGGGAAGGGGTACTCACAGAGATCGGAGGTTAAACAGCTGCTCAAAAGTGCCGCCTTTAACTTCATAGATTTCGTTATGCCGCAGGTCACTGAAAAGAGAGCGTTCCAAAGACTGACATCAGTGTTAATGCTTCCGTTAGACTTCAGAGAACTTTTTACCCTAGAATAGCGTGCCCTTAATCAAAGGAGCGGAGGAAGTGTGTCCATCTCATAGGAAGTGTGTCTGTCTCTCAAACACGACATCATTTTTTTTTTGTTTACTAAATAACACTGCAATTTTTTACATTCTCTCTCTGTCTCTCTCTCTCTGTGTCTCTCTCTTACACACACACACACACACACACACACACACACACACACACACACAAACCCAAAACCAACAATACAAAGACACTTTTAAGGACACTTTCTCTCCTGGAGCTCTTGTTGTGTTCACTAAAGGTCTTCAGAAGTGTCAAATTTATTTTTAATTATGTATCTGTATATGGGTATGTGTATCTGTGTATGGGTATGTGCATCTCAGTGTTGCTGACCCCTCGGACTGGAGTCGTAAGTGGTTGAGAGCTGCCCAATGTGGGTGCTGGAGACCAAACTCTGCATCTCTGAAAGAGTACTAGGTGCTCTTAGTTGGGGAGTCATCTCTCCAGCCCCTCAAAACTTTACATTTTAGAAAAGGGGTGTATGTTTTCTTCCTTCATTACCCAAAGGCTGTGAGAGAAAAACTAAGTTTGAAATGAAGGGTGGTTGATAAACAAAGTGTGGCCACAAAGCAATGAGCTAATGTTTTGTGGAGGAAGTAGTTTTAAAAGAGGAACTCCAAAGGGCCTAAGAAGTGTCCACAGCACCTCAAGTGACAAACGTGTCATCATAAAACAAACCCAAGTTCTGTTGTATTCAAAAGCAGCACCGCTCATTGGGAGGATGAATTTTATTGTGTGTGTAAAAGAAGAGAACTGAACCCGTGTGGCATACACCTGTAATCCCAGCCCTGGGAGGCAGAGATGGGAAGGCACAGGAGGAGATCAAGGCCAGCCTGGGCTACACAAGACCTTGTCTGCATGAAAAAGGAAACATTCTCAGGCTCAGACTCACCCATTTCCCCATTACATTGAGCTGGGAAAAACGAAGGAGAAAAACAGATGTCTAGCAACCCCTTTGTTCATACCACATCCGTGGATGAGCAAAGTACTATTTCCCACCTCTCTGGGTACTCTCCACCCTCACACTGTGTGTGCGTAAGAAGGAGAAATGCCAACGTGCTGCCAGCGAGTCACAGGGTAGAGTAACCCATGACCCTGAAAAATGTGAGTTTGGGCTTTTGATTTTGTTGAGTAACTTAGAGACTTTCAAAGACGTACATTTTCTGAAGTTTTTGGCAGTCGGACAAACTGGGTAAGTCTTCAAGCAGGTTGTAAGACAAATCTCTGAGAAGGTGAGAAAGGGAAAGATCTGTTACACATCAATCCTAAGGAAACACATCTTCCTCTCCTTTCCCCTCAAGATGATAGGCCCATCAGAGGCAAACTCTGGACAATTCCACAGCCCTGACATGCAGCAGGTAGACACAAGCATTATTGGATTAGGCAAAAGGTTCAAATATTTACTGAAATGTAACTGGTATACTTCTTTAATTGATTTAAATAAATTTACTTAATGAATTTATTTATTTTGTTAGTGATGAGCTGCAGTGTTCCAGCTCTTATCTTACTGAAATGAGTACAGATTAAATTAAATAACTGTACCCCGTCTCTGGAAGCTGCTATTTCCCTACGGTTAACACAAGTCATTGCTGGCTCTTTCCTAATCAACTTAAAAACCAAACCAAACCATTCAAAACACAGCACTAACTTTGAAATCAATCACCACGAGCGGGGAAATCTAAGAGAGGTTTCAGCCAAAACTCAACAAATTACAGAATAACAAAAACATCTGGACATATTTATACTATAATATAACTAATCTAAAACAAGCCATGGTAATTTGCAGAAAGTTAAAAAAAGAAAGAAAACTGGTAGATAGAGTAACATAAAGGTAAAAAAAAAGTCTTGTCTCATGTTTTAAAAGTTATCAACCAATCAACTAACCATTTTCATGCTTGATTCTTATGCTTAAAACCATCAAAACAACTGGGGAAAAACCGGTAGTATTTTCTAAGAGGCTTTTCAATTATTCTGTCCTTATAATTGACCAATTTATCCTTCATTTCTTGAATGAACGGGTTTTAGATAGGAAGAGTTCCATTACTGCATAGAAATGATTTAAATGAAGCTGTCTGTGAATGCAAGCACTAAACACCCTTTCCACCAAACAAACAAAAAATAAACTCACTAAAGTGAAAAAAGGAAAAACCCGTACCTTTATGCAAAATATGCCTGTTTAACAATATGCCATGTAAGTTTGAAAAGTAGTGACTGTATGAAAATGGACACATATATTATCAAAAATGATAATGATTTGATCCATTCAGTTCTCCAGGCTGCTCAGGGAGCCTGTCATTTTTTTTTTTCTTTAAGACAGGGTTTCTCTGAAGCTCTGATGCCTGTCCTGGAACTAGCGCTTGTACACCAGGCTGGCCTCGAACTCACAAAATTCTGCCTGCCTGTGCTTCCTGAGTGCTGGGATTAAAGGCGTGTGCCACCACTGCTTGGCATCTGTTATTTCTTATATTTTTTATATTGTGCAGCCCAGGCAGGTGTTGAAATTGGGTTCTTCCTTCCTTAGCCTCCCCAGGCACTGGGATTACAGACTGAACCATCAACAACCCCCGGTCCCTTCTCACATATATTTGAGTAGGGAGTATATAAAACCTTCTACGCAAGGATATAGTATTGCATTTCATCCACCTTTTACTTAATGATTTCAGGGTCGATGTGAACCAAGCATTTCATGGGAAGAGGTACCATGTTTCTAGCTTTACTTAAACTTTATCCCGTGACAACCTTATAACAGTGACACTGTGGGTGTCCTCATACATTATGTAAGGAATGACTTACATAAGATTTTCAGCTAGCAAGTGGAGAACACACATTTAGCCTAAATATGGCCTAGGCTATTTCTATGAAGTAAGGTAGTGGCAATAAAGATTCACAATGAAATCTCATATGCTAATGGAATGAAACCCAGGATGATAGCTCTCACACCAATGCTTCCAAAAGACTCCACAGTAGAGATCAAGGTCCTGGGTTCTAGTACTAAACCTAATGAGTTTCTCTTGATTAATATGGTGGCCCGAGCACTGACTGATTTTCTTTTCTTTTCTTTTCTTTTCTTTCTTTCTTCCTTCCTTCCTTTCTTTCTTCCTTTTTTTTCTTTTTTTTTTTTTTTGGTTTTCTTCTTAGAAGTTACCTGCCTTATCTATTTTTCAGGAAATGTCATGAAGAACAAATGAATATTATGGGTGGATCATTGAAAATGGCAAGATACTATGATATGGGAGAATTGTCTGAATTCTGTCAATCATTTTAATAAAATGCTGATTGGCCAGGCAGGCAGTATAGGCGGGAAAGCCAGACAGGAAGTAGGGGTGGAGCAAAGAGACTGGGAGTATTCTGGAAACAGAGCTCCCTCAGCCACTCCTGCGCAGACCACCGAAAAGGCAGCAAGTAACTTGCCCAGCTGAGAAAAGGTACAGAGCCATTGTGGCTAACATAGATAAAGATAATGGGGTAACATAAGTTATAAGAGTTAACAAGAAGCCTGACCTAATGGGGCAATCAGTTTATAACCTTATGGAGTCCTGTGTGTGATTTTTTTGGGCTTGCCAGTTGTGGGGTACTGGGCGGGACAGATACCCCAACAAGCCAACCCTCGTGTTACAATACTATAATTAATACATTTATGTATGTACACATAATTCGAGTCCCAACAAGAAGGAATAGTGTCTTTTCTGCTTGTTTACTTGCTTGAGACAAACTTATTACATAGGCCAGACTGCTTTGGAACTTCTCTGCAGCCCCAATTTGCCTCCAACTGGTGGTCTTTTTAAATGTCTTTCCTTAACACTGGGGCTATAGGCATGTGCTACCATGGCTGGCTTAAAAAAAGTCCTATCTGGGGGCTAGAAAGATGGTTCGTTAACGTGACTCTGACACAGAAGCAAGACAGGAGAATTCCTGGGCTTTGCTAGCCAATGAGTCTTGTTGAGCAAGGAGACCTTGTCTCAATAAACTAAGATGGAGGGGTTGGCAAGGTGTCTCAGTGGGGAGAGGTAGTTGTCCTTTGAATGCACATTAGAGAGACTTGTCTGTCACAAGCTGTCCTTTCATCATTATATATACATACTCGGTGGCAGACATGCGTGTGCACACATGCCTACACACATACATAAACATAAACAATTTAAAAATATAAGATGGGGAGTGACCGAGGGAACCACCTGGTGTTGATCTCTGGCTTCTCTATGCATGTTCATGTGTGTATACACACATGTACATATGCAAATGCCACCCCCCCAAAGAAACAATATTTTTCAGAAAGAGTAATGACATATGAAAAATATGGAAGGGTTAACACTGACCAAGCACCTACCACATCCTAAACTCTGTTCTAAGGGCTTGATATGTAGTCATTTAATCCTTAGGATTACTGTCTGAAGGAAGTGGCTCATCATTTTATAGGCTGGGAAACTGAACCCCAGAAGGAAAAAGAATTTGCTGGAGATAATGTACTACTTTCTTGGGAACTTGGAGTTGAACCAGGAAACCATGCTCTGGAGCCCTTGCTCCTAACTGGATTTCCAAGTGGCTTTCATTCATCTACGTCATTCTGGACCTGGCTGTTTACTGTCCGTTCCCTAGGTAGGACAGAAATCATGGATCTGATTTAAACCCTGGCTTCCCTACTTTACCCCTGACAGTATGTGAAATCCCTCTCACGGTATTGATCCAAGCTAGCCATGAAAATCAATAAGCCAAAGACAATAGATGTTGTTGTGTACCCTCTACTGCTTTCATCAAGAAATGGAGGGCTGGAGAGATGATTCAGTGGTTAAGAGTACCTGCTGTTCTTGGTGAGGACCAATATCTGAGGTTGTCATCTGACCCCAACATACATGTGCTGAGACATTAGTCTACCAACACTTATTCATGTGAATATGCGCATACAAGATAAAAGTAAACAAAAAAATTGTGATGCTTTCTTGCAGTGAGACTTTAATAAATATGTCCTCGATTCCCAATTCCTTTGTCTGTAGCTACACTTTAGAGGGAAACGTGGGTATAAGGACGAGGCTTGCTTTGTGTGCCGTCCTTCAGACACGTGTGAGTGACAGAACCTTCTGTGTGCTTCTACTGCACACCATGTCACTGGGCATCTTCCGGGACACGGTAGCCTGGGGACGATGAATCATTCAGCGGACAATCCCGTACTACACAGCATTGGCATTATATGCTGGTTCTGTTACAAAGAGGAGCCTATGCTGAAATGGCAGGCAGCTGACTGTGACTGGTGTCCATTCCACAAGAGGAGAAGAGTTTTATAAGGGAGTGAGGCTCTTTTTAGTAACAGTCCCAACGATGCTCAAGAGTACTAGAGGGTGGAGTGGAGTAACCAGAAACACGAAAGTAGAATGCCAACACAAGGCTATTCAGATCTCTATAAACTACTTCTTATGAAACATGGGAAAGGCAGAAGCAAGATGAGATCTGAGTCAGCAGAAATAGCATTCAAGCTGATTGACTACCGGATGGAACATTAGCACACACTATGCACAACTGTACCAAAGAATGTTTAGTCTTCCTATCAGGGTCAGTGCCTGTTTGATAATTTTATTTCTGACATTAATATTGGCCTTTGATCCATTATGCTATTTTGTTCTACCCTACAAAACCCTTTAGAAGAGGAAATGCACTTTTTTTTTCTTTTGGCGTGTTTACATTCATTTTCTGAAGGGAAATGCAAGCCAACTACAACTCTAACAGGCAGCTGTTTGCACTGGAAAACAAAGATACGCTATCATGGTACCAGGGTTATGACTGAGAGCCTGGCCCAAAGGAGGCAAAGGAGGAGCTATGACCTCCTGGAGACCTGCAAGCAAAGAACTCCCATTTCCAAAGACTGTTGAGATACCGTCTGCCATTTTCCCCCTAAATGGAAGTTGCCTGTTTATACAACATTATTGCCTTCCTGATACGCACAGCACTTGGAGATTAGGTAACTGATCACAGACGGTCTGGGGAAGAGATGAGATCTTTGCTCCAGTTAAAGTCCTGTTAAAACACAAGCCAGACATAATTCTTTCGTTCCCGCATCATGCAGTGACATGTTTTGATTCACGGATGTTGAGGTTGATCAGCCCCAAAGTGAATGCATGTTCCGGGCGAAGTTAGGGTTTGCTCTGATACTCACAGACTCTCTAGGTTGCCAGTTCCGGTTAAGTCAGGAAATTCAGTAATTTGCGAGGCACCATTCAGAGTCCTAGGAGAAATACGTGAGTGTTATTTGGAGACCGTTCTAGGAAGGGGTCATTTTGACTATCATTTTTTTTCCAAAGTATCTTAAGCTCTACCATTCATTTGGTCTTTGTAGCAATACTACAGGTTGGCTGGTGGGGACATTTAAGAGAAATAGACACTTACAGTGTTCTTAGTTCAGGTAAATGTTGAAAAGCAGATATTCCAACAAATTGGATGGGATTGTCATAGAAATGTCTGAAAAATCCAAACACCAATGTGTTATAATAGAGCTGATGGCCAAGAGAATATGTTTCAACAAATATTCTAAGTGCATTTGTTGCTTTGACTAATTATTTAACAGCCCTGTCACTCAGTCTCAAGAGAGCATCTCCCATTTTAAGATTGTTGTTATATTTACTGGTTTCTTTGTTTATCTGATGTGCATGCTATGGTGTCTGTGTGGGATAGGAGGACAGCCCCTGGAAGTGTGTGCTTACGTGGGGGTTAGAGGATAAGCGGGGTGGGGGGTGGGGGGTGTGAATGCCCACCATCACACTCGAGTTGTTAGGCTTAACCCACGGGACCATCTCATTAACTAGCTTTAGGAGATTTGGGGTAAGGAATCTGTACAATTTAAAGGGAAGAGACTTGGGGGGCCGGTAGAGGAGGATTTAGAATAAAATAGAACGACAGTGTGTGAAGACGCCGTGGCAAAACCCATCCTGTGCATGCTAACCTACAAGATTAATCAAAAAGAAAAAAACTAACGTTTGGACATCAGGGCTGGTATGAATGGTAGTTACTAAGTAGGAAAGAACATGAACTGACTAACTGGACTTACAGATTTTGTTTGCCTCCACCACTGAATACTCAGTAACAAAGCATAACTCAAGTTGCAGTTCAGTCATCTGCCCGCCTGCCCGTCCGTCCGTCCGTCAGTCCGTGCGTCCATCCATCCATCCATCCATCCATCCATCCATCCATCCATCCATCCATC